TTGCACATTAGCTCCTAAAGCGGTGCATGGAGACCCGAAATGGCCCCAAAACAAAACCCTATATCTCGCAATGTTACCAAGTTATTGGTTTATCCCTATTCTGATCTTCTCCAAATTGTGCTGTCTTCTTCTTCGGCTGATGCTACACCTTTACCCCAAGTTTCATCAAAATCAACGCGGTCATTTTTGCGTAATCTTGCTGACGGTACGATCCAATATGATACGATACGATATAAACAATATGATACGATTCGATATAAACAATATGATACGATACGATATAAACAATATGATACGATACGATATAAACCAAAGGATATGATGTTTTTTTCCTTTTACAGATATATTCAATTAGGTGTTTCCAGGATATAAGATCATTAACAGACAAGCAGACCCAGCCTTCATCCTGACCTCCTGTGAGATGATGATGAGGATGATATGCTTTGTTCTTTATCTTCTTGACGTACATGTTGGTAGTCGCTGCCGACCTTGAGGCTCATTATGAAGCTCGCCCCGCTGTCTTGGAGGAAGGATGTTAGCAGATTAATATAGGAGCTCCAGACATCACCTCAGAGCACAATGATCCGCCGTGGAGGAAATGAAGGCAGACCCTAAGGGCAGCTTTTTACCGACGGGCCCTGAAGGCCTCTTACTCTCAGCTCCTGTGAGGCGTTGCGTGTGAGGAGACTTCCTGTGAAGTAACCGGACCCTCAAAGGCTTTCTGACGCCACAAAGATTCTGCACCTGTTGCCGGGCGGAGCGTTTCCACGGTGGCTCGGTACGCTTCACCTCCCAGGGTTTAAACAGATTACTGGGGTTCAGGGGCCAGGAGCAGGAAGTGTTCGGGGTCTGGATCACTGGTGGATCGCGGGTCAATTCTCACGCGGTTTTCATGCAGTTTGCTGTAGTCAGAATCAGGTTTATCACCAGGTAGGTTCACACGTACGAGGAATTTGACTTGGTGTCGTGGTGCAAACATAAACATACACACAAATAAAACAAAAAGTAAAAACACAGACTATAGTTGTGATGACTGAACAATTTAGTTTAAATGAGATTTAGTGATGAAGTATCTCTCCTGCTACATATCTACAAAACAACTTTATTATTATTATCATTTATTTATTTGTTATTATTATTATTATTATTATTACTATCATTATTATTATTATTATTACTATTATTATTATTATTATTATTATTACTATTATTATTATTATTATTAATATGTTGTTGTTGTTGTTGATCAAAGAACAAAATGTCAAAGAAAGGGTATAAACCTAAGCTAACATACGGAATACGTATATGAACACATTAATATATTATGGAATACTAATGGTCACAAGTTAAAATGGTTGGAACCGTATTTCCCCAAAACAATTTTTAAATATAAATACATTTCTTTCTTGCAATAGTTTTTACTTTTAATGTTATACATTTGTAATACTCCATTGCAATGTTTGTTTCCTCATCTTCCAGAGCGTAACATTACTTTTTAAATTGCAAATTGTTATACTTTATGTACAAGTGAAATCGATGAGTAACAAAGAATAACAAAGACCGAAATCTAAACGAAAATAAGGCCTAAGAAAAAGACGGAAATAGGAACATGGTTTTGCTTTTGCAGATCTTGGGCTGGACTAAAATACGACGAGTCTCTCTTCAGGGTAAATTCCAGTTTTAAGGTTTTTAGCCCATTCTAAAGGAAAACCACCTGCTTCATGGCACTCTGTCAAACCAATGCGTTCATGTTCTCTGAAGGGCTGTTCCCTGCCTAAATGATCCTGATAGTGCAAACCTCAACCAGTCCTTGCTCTCGTACCAGGAAATTCTCTCCAGTGTTTTGATTGTGCCGTCTGAATATTTCTAATGATGTTTATTTCATATTGTATAGGTCTGTTTGTCACGGTGGCTATCAGGTGCACACGACCTTGAAATACAATTTGATCCTTTTTCACCGGGGATGTGTGTGTGAGGAAAAGAGGGATCAGACTGATTGATCAAACTGAACTATACAGAACCTTCAAACGCAAGGCAAGGCAAAGTGCTTCACAGAAAGGAAGAGCTTTATGAAATGACCTTTAAAAACAATCATTAAAAAGATAAGATAAGATAAGATTGACTTTTTTTATGCTAATTTAGGACAAACATGTCGCAATGTTAAAACAAGGCATGGCGCATAATGTGAATTAAAAAAAGTTTAAAATAAACAACAACACGTTTTCTTGTTTTCTTGTTGCCCTCACAGAGGGACTTACAAACACAGATACACATTATACAGACAATTATACAAAAAGAACAAATATATAGGGAGTCCCTTTCCACGCCGCCCCACTCGTCTGAGTTCATCTATCTATTCTATTATATTATTTATATCATAGCATAAACATTTATCCACATCAAATACATTCATACTTTTTGTTTCATAACATTTCATCTGTTTACGCTGAATTGAGATTGACTCCTAATCATCATAGGGAGGCTGTGGCTCAGTGGAAGTGTGCTTGACTTCAGATCAGGGATAGCAGGTTCAAACCCCACTGCAGTCAGCATGTCGTTGTGTCCCTGAGACACTTCACCCCAAAGTGCTCCTGTGGGGATTGTCCACGGTACTGAGTAAGTCGCTTTGGATAAAAACGTCTAACAGATGAATTTGATCCTTTTACAACAAACACATTCTAGTTTTGAATCCACACATTTATCAATGTAACAGTATCTCTTTTTGTTTATGGGACTGTAACCCCGTCACATGCCCCCCCCCCCCCCCCCCACCTCTGGTCTGATGTGAAGTGAGGGGTCTGTAATCGGCCGCTCCCATTGGTTCCACTCGAGGACTCACTTCTCCTGATCCGGTTGAAGCGGGTTTTTGTTCGGAGAGAGAAATCCTCACAGCTTCAGATCCGGAGTTCACTCAGACGACTGCTGAGGGAGCGTGAAATCTGTGCCAGATGAGGAGGAGGAGGAGAAGGAGGAGGAGGAGGAGGAGGAGGAGGAAGTATCAGAGTGTCAGGAGGAACAACTGGCAAGGTTCTGCTCCTTCAGTAAATATCAGAAGCACAAACTAAAATACTTTTACATTTTGAACATTTACTTTCCTCCAGTGGCGCCGCCTGACCTGTAGCCCGATTCTCCCTCAATAATATAATGCATTCACCGTGCTTTACCTGAACCTCATCAGGACACTGGAGAGGACGGCAGGACTGTCATTTCCCGTGTTCAGTGAATGCAACAGAGGCAAGACACCAGAGAGAGAGAGAGAGAGAGAGAGAGAGAGAGAGAGACCGGTGCAGCAGCAGGGACCGTGTTGTTAGCATCTGGTTAGCTAGCTGCACTAACGGACATAAGGAGCTGTTTGTTCCACAACAAGCTGGAGGAGAGTCCTCTCCTCTCAGACTGAGAGGCTCAGGTGAGCTCAAGGACTTTAGTCTAAGTTATCTCAGTGGGTCTCAAACGGTTTGGCCACGAATTATGCAAAATATTATTTCCGAGGCACATGTTTGTATGATCATTATAGTTATAAAACAATAAGAGAATAAAGGAAAAACAGTTATGAAATACTATATGGCAGTAAAACAAGAATACAGTTTGAAAGGGGAGTGATTTGTAAAATATCCATAAAGAAAAAGAACATCTGCTTACAGTTGTGTTTCATCTGGGTGTTGAGAGATGTATCCATAGATCTCTTCATGTTGCTCTCAAAGTGCACCAGATTGATGCTTTTAACTTCAATATTACTTCCCCAGACCCCCCTAGAGGATGTGAGGACCCCCCTAGAGGAGGTGAGGACCACCCTAGAGGAGGTGAGGTCCCCCCTAGAGGAGGTGAAGTCCCCCCTAGAGGAGGTGAGGACCCCCCTAGAGGAGGTGAGGACCCCCCTAGAAGAGGTGAGGACCCCCTAGAGGAGGTGAGGTCCGCCCACTTTATCCCTGCTTACACCTATATGTGAGCTGATTATCGAGCCTTCATTGTAACAGTCGCGGGTACACTGTGTGTGGGTGTGTGTGTGTGTGTGTGTGTGTGTGTGTGTGTGTGTGTGTGTGTGTGTGTGTGTGTGTGTGTGCGTGCATGGGGATTGTTGCAGTAGACCATTCCTCTGTAGAGACGGTACATTAATGGGAAACCCTACATGTTTGAGCACCCTCTATGAAACGTCGAGCTACCCCACAGCACCCCCAAAGAAATCTCTGGCGCCGCCACTGAGGGCGAATGTTCCAGCTCCAGGACACGCCCCTGCTTTCATCCTAAACCGAACCTCGTACTGAAGTTAAAGCTACTTGACTTCATTTATTGGCAAATCCTAAAACTTGTTGGCAGTATTTTATACTCCAACACTTATAGATTTAGTTTCCATTACTTTCCTGACATTTGATCAGTTTAGAAAATCAGATGCATTCAGTTATTATATCATTTGCATTAGTTACAAATAAGATCCACCTTAGAAGCAACAGCACCAAGACTTTTCATATTACATGAGGAAAAGTTCAGTATGGTGTATATAAGAATAGTGGATTAACATCCGAGGTGGAAGAGTGACGCTGCAGAAGATATGTGATGTACTATATATATTACATCATTAGATGGTTAATATCAAGCAGCATGTTACTGCTGTAGACGAGAACAGTGCTGTATCACATTCAGTATTATTTTTGTTGAGGACTTTTAGTAATAATTGCACTTTCTCGTACCTTAAACAGTTCGTTAGTTTGACTTTTGCATCATGTTTTGAATGCAAAATATGAATCTGAAAAAAGCTATTTAATAAATGTAGTGCAGTAAAAGTAGCAGTCAATGGTAATACTCAAAGTATAACTTGTGTTCTCTATTTGAGTCTTTATCTTTCAACACAGTCATCTTAAACTTCAATTATCACATGTTGATATTTCCACAGAGTTCTGAGGAGTAATCGTGAGTTTCTCCCGCAGAGAGCGGCTCCTCCCCCCGGCTTTATAAGAGCCTCTGCCAGGTATCAGTCTTTAAATACAGTCTGCAGAGAGCGCGAGGAGGGTCTCTCACATTCAACAACACTCTCTACCCGGGTCTCCTGCAGCCGGTACCGGGATGTCGGATCCTCTCTGCTTCTGCTCTCGGTGATCAAACGGAGGATTTTGGCACCGGGACTTTTTATTTTAATATTTTATTAAACATGACTTTCGCCACCATGCTGCGGCCCATGGCGTCACACTTACTTTACTCTGACGTCATCACCTCTGAGGAGGATGAGGAGGAGAACCAGAGCGACGGCGGCGGCTCGGAGCAGAGCTACTGCGGGAAAAGGAGCAGGATTTCCCGCAGGCTGAGCGCCGAGATGCCGGTGGTTGTGCAGCAGAGGAGCGCGGCGAATGCTCGGGAGCGCGGCCGGACGCAGAGCGTGAACTCCGCCTTCACTTCCCTGCGGAGCCTCATCCCCACGGAGCCCGTGGACCGGAAGCTCTCCAAGATCGAGACTCTGCGCCTGGCCTCCAGCTACATCTCTCACCTGGCCAACGTGCTGCTGCTAGGGGACGGAGGCGTGGAGGGACAGCCGTGTCTGCATGGGAATGCGCCGAGAGAGAGCGGAGCGCAGCAGCCGCGCAGCATCTGCACCTTCTGCCTGAGCAGCCAGAGGAAAGGGGTGAGGTTTACCGGAATCAGAACCGATTTGATGCGTAAAAAGCGCTTCTTTTGGGGGGGATTTGTGTGCGTAATGGTACATTCCTCACAGACATACATGTTTTTGTATTCGCTTTTTTAACTTAATTTCTTGAGCATAATCTGAGATACAACATCAAAGCTTTCTCTTGCCTTTGGAAATTAATGAGGGGCATCTGCACCTTCTGCCTGAGCAATTTTATGCGTAAAGGCACTTTTTCTGTAGGTTTCTGTGCGTAAAAACGCTCTTACGCACATTCCTCTCAGACACACGTGTTTTGTATTCTCTTTTTTAAATTGACTTCAGTGCAAAGCATAATCTGATATACAACATATTTAGTAGCTTTCTCTTGACTTTGGAAATGAATTTTTGGCAGCATCTGCAAATTCTGCCTGAGCAGCCAGAGGATTTTATGCGTAAAAAGCACACACAAAAAAAGTGCTTTTACGCACAGCACGTGTTTGCTGTCCATGTGCATTCCTCACATTCCTGTTTTTGTAATCTCTTTTTTAAACTGCACTTTAGTGCAAAGCATAATCTGAGATACAACATTATTAGCTTTCTCTTGCTTTTGGAAATTGATATGTGCCATCTGCGCCTCAAGTCAGGGTAAAGGGTTCACGTCAAAGTGGATTAAAATACAGAGCAGATCATTACATGTGCCATAAATATGAAAGTGAGTGGCTCTAACACATGGAACTTCTCATCAGCTCCACACACAGCAGGTTTCTGTATGAAGCTTTTTAAGATGTTCTGAAGTTTGATCAGCATTTATCTTCCAATCGTGACTTTACAGTTATTAAGCTTTGGTTTGTAAAATGCACTTTTGGAAGATGTTGTGAGTAAAAGGTGTTTTAAATGCACATGTTGGCAGCTAATGTACATTCCTCACAGACATGTGGTATACATCATTAGCAGCTTCCTCTTGGCTCTGGCCATTCATGTGACGGATTGATTGTGTCTTTATTTCTCTGAGAAAATAAAATCACTTCTCGTGCATTTGACCTAATTCAGTTTGCATCTTTTCCTGACTTGTGTTCAGTTAAAGTTTATATTTCTGAATGTTTATCTGACTGAGATATTTCATGTGTTTGCAGATAAAGGACGGCAGAGAGTGTTTAAAGATGAGAGGACTCGCTGCGCTGAGAGTGAGACGCTGACAGGAGAATGATTTAAAAACCTGAACATCCTCAAAGACTTTCTCAGGGAAGAGTCACATAACACACACACACACACACACACACACACACACACACACACACACACACACACACACACACACACACACACACACACACACACACACACACACACACACACACACACACACACACACACACACACACACACACACACACACACACACACACACACACACACACACACACACACACACACACACACACACACACACACACACACACACACACACACATGCTGGATCACGATGAAGAAGAGACTATTTATACTTGATTTAGAGATGTGAGTTTCAGAGATGCCGTGCATTTGTTTGAAAACTTGTGTCTTTTAGTTTTTTTGTTCCCAAAGTTTTAAATAAAATATATTTTATCAAATAATACTTGTTATTGTCTCTGATTCCCATGAGGCACGTCCTGACAGAGAGGGGAAGCAGACAGTCAGTTGTGCCACATGTGTACACATTGTGCTAAAGATGGGACAGTGATGTAAACATAAAAGTTTATGGAGGAAATGGAACAAAAAAGAAAATAAAAAAAGCGTTATTTCCGTCTTAATTTGAGGTTAGTGAAAGAATAACAAAGGGTGCACGCGCTGTAAAACAAGAAGGTGCATTGCAGATTAGAAAACCACATAAATGCTTTCTTTAATATTCAAAAAGGAATTTACAAATGTTTTATTTTGACCCCAAAATTCCCAATTTAAGAATAATAAAAAAGTAATAAATTATTGACAATATATGATAATAATAATAATAATAATAAATAATAATAATAATAATAATAATAATAATACAATGAGATACAAAGAGAAGAAAGTCAAACATACATATTGTCTGACTCAAAATGGAGACAGGACTGATATGTATGGAGGTTTAAAGCACATAGAAAATAATGATTATTGTACTAAATAAATATGAATCCCTTTTTTCACACCAGAAGCAAAAAAGTTAAAATAAAGGAAATGAAGAAAATAAAAAAAATTACATTTAAAAAAAATAAAAAGTGATGATGAGAAAAAAAATATATAAAAAGGAACTACTAAATGTGAGTCTGAACTAGATGGTATTTGGTGTGACCCTCCTGCAGCTCCTGGTGTCCGGTGTCAGAGCCGCTGTGGTTCTGTATTCCCTCCAGATCTCACGCCTGGTGTTTTTTGAAGTCTGTTATCGATTAGTCACGGCTAATATCGGCCCACACGGAGACACAGCTGCTGGCGTGTTAGAGGGATAAATCACCACCGGGGGGGCCAGGGTGAGGGTGAGGGGTCAGAGGTCACTGTGGAGCAACGGAGAGAAGTACTGCTGACGGGAAGTCATGGAAAAAATGACATTAAAATACATCATGCTGCTGTTTGCACTGAGGACAGTTCACGTGGATGAGTAATGGATTACATGTAATGATACAGACACAATAAAGGTAAAAGATGTAATCTGATTACAGTTACATTTCAACATTTTGTGGATTGCTAGCAGGATTTAGCATCGAGTGTGTGTTGTGAAGGATCAGATGTTCTCTCTTCTCTGTTAGCTGTTCTGTAGGATAAGACTTTAGACTGCTTGAATCTGCTTGGATCTTTTTCTTATAAAAATGTGGACTTTTTTCTCCAAAATCTAAAATCTTAAAATTCTTTCAAAATACTCACTTTTTTTTATAAAACTCAAACTTTTCTCAACTTTCCGAATTTTTACTCCAAAAATCTCACTTTTTCCCAAAAAATATAAAAATAATTCCTGACTTTTTCATATTTCTTACTTTTCTTTCTAAATTCTCACTTTTTATAAACACTCTGGCCGTTTCTCAAAGTCCAGTCGAGCTGCTGCAGAGCCTCTGGCCGTTTCTCAATCTCGAGGATTCTGGCTTCCAAGCCAATATTTCAAGGATGCTACGTCATCGAGTGCCGCCGAAGGACTGTTCCAAT